GAGGCGCCGCTGCTCCCACAGACGCTCGCGAGCCGACCCCCGCGCTCCCAGCCTCCTCTACCTCCCGCACCCCCGAGACGCTCGCCCGCCTCGGGTCTCGCCCCCGCCTCCGCCTCCCCGCTCCTCTCCCCTCGCTCGCCTCCCACATTGTCTCTGCCTCGTTTTCTCTCCTAGTTGAGGGGGAAAAAAATCACCATCATCTTCCAGGAGAGCCCCCTCGCCCTCAGAGAAACAAAACCAGACATGGTCCTGGGCTCCCGCTCCTGAGGGATTGGCCGAGCGAGGCGCAGGGAGCCTGTGGAGCCCGCACGAGAAGTCACGGGAGGGAAACCCCCGCCGCCCCCGGCCCCGTCCCTGCGGCCCGCCCGTCCTCGGCCCGAGCCCAGCGGCCCCAGCCCCGCGGGCCTCCCGCCGCGTCCCCCCACGCTTTCCCGGGAGCCGGCCGAACACACCTCCATTGATGGTGTAGCGCATCCGGGGGAGGTAAGTCTCCAACCTGTCCGCGCGCGGCGTCTGCTCGCCCTTTTGGCCCCTGGGGCGGGCGAAGGGTCGGCGTGGGAGCCGTGGTCCGGGGTTGGGGGCCGCGCGCGGGCCGGGCGGACGCGGATACGGGGCTCGGCCCTGTGCGGGCCAGGTAGCCGTCCTACCCGCCTGCTGACCCCGGCTCTTTGCTGCTTATTCATGCTCTTGTTTGACTTGTCTGAGGTTAAACTGTTTCATGTGACTAAATTATGGGCTGAACTAGAGGGAGGAGGAAAGAAAGTCCAGGACTGAAACTGTAAATTTCTTGAATGTTTGTGGATTTGGGGGTCTTGGGGGCCGACTTTCCTAAAAGTATCATTTTCACCTTAGTGGAAGATTCTCTCTTTGTGTTTGAAATCTCTAGTTCTCTGCTCTGTGTGATTCTTGAGTTTTAAGACCCAAAATCACTTGCAGCGAAATAGGATTCTTCCTACTATGTTTTAGTTCTGCTCCCTGAAAAAGAGTGTCTTCTAGTTTTATTATTTTTTAAGGTTTTGGGGGGAAAGAAAAGTAGTTTTTACACAGATCGTTTGTGTGTGTGTGTTGGAAGGGGGAAAGTATTGCAGGTTTCCTTTGAAACTGGTTGCTTGAGAAGTTGATGAAAGGAAAACAAAATGATTCATTGTTGAATTGTCATTTTCCTCTGCCTCTTTTCCAAGGTTTGCTTACAATTTTTCTGGATTACAGACTTCAAACATTGATTTAAGCAAAATGTGTCCTTGAGAAACTGGGTACTTTAAATGTTTCAGTGTGTGTTGCTATTTTAAGGTACATTTAGAAAGTACTTTTGTATAAATCTTGAAATAGCCTTCTCCAAAGCAATTTTTTAAACACAAAAAAGGTAACTAGGAAAAGGGTGACTTGGTGAATTGCAAATCCAACATTTTAATGTAACACCAGTTAATGCATCCTGTGTTTAGATTTGAAACAGTTTTGATAATTGCTTTCCATTTAAAGAGAGACCTTTTTGTCTGGTGTACACTGGTTTCTTTGGTCTCAGTCCGTTGGGGGAGGGGAGAAATGATGGATCTATACGATAATAAAATCATCTTTGGCTAGCTGTTTCCTCTCCTGGATTTGCTTGCTGAGTTAATTCCACCGTAAATTAGAAACCAGTTTTGATTTTGATGGCCTAGGCTGGATGGAAAGCTGGCTTCCAGCTCTCCCTGTTGTTGAGGTCGAAGGGAAAAGAGGCAGAGACAGAAACACACACAAACACACGCACACGCGCGCGCACACACACACACACACAATACCAGGCTGAGGGCTCATTGTTCTTCCATACACATATTCATTCTCTCTCTCCCATATTTGGGACTAGGTTTGCACAGACAAACACAGCTCTTTTTGGGAGAGAGGAGAGGAGATGGGGAAAGGGTGGGTGCTTTTCTTCTTCAGCTTTCTTTCACCCATCTCCTGTCTGGCCTTTTTTGCAACCTTGTAAGAGGCAGAAGAGTGCATCGGAAACGAAAGGACACTCAAACACATGTTTAGAGACTCCTCTTTTCCACTGCCCTTTCTTCCCCTTGCAGCCCTGATTTCTACTGCTCTTTCTTTTTTGTGTGTGTAAAGATAAAATCTCTCATTGTATGTTGTGGCCTTGTAGTCAGCTTTCGTATTCCTCATTGCCCCTGACTTTGTTGGGGACAGTGATTTGTTCATTTGACCCTTAATATAGTGAATGTGGCCAGGGCCGGCTTTTCTAGGTAGAGGTAGATTGTCTCAGTTAAGATAATAAAGGTTGTATTTGGGGTTAATTGTTAGTGAAGTGTGTGTGTGTTTATGTTTTGACATATTAGTGGTCTGAAGGTTTGTTAGTCAGATATGCTGGCTGTTGAGCTCTCAGTGTGTTTGTTTTGTAAATAGAGGTTGTAAGAAAAGATCTGGTTTTCTGCTTTGGAAGCTAATGTAGAGGCTTCCTGGAACACTGGACAGGGAATGACTGAGAGAGTACAGCTGGGCTAAACCCCGCTCTGGGCCAAGGATGGAGGCTGGTGTGAATAGTATGGGGTGCAGGATAGCTTCTACTGGTTAATTGCTTTTAAGGATCCAGACGAATAGGATGGGGGAGGGGATTAACGGCTGAGGCCTAATGATTTTCTTTTGAACACGGTTGTAGTGCTTTCTTGCAAATGCCACTTCCCCGAGCTGCTAATACAGATGCCCTTTGACAGCCACGGTTACATTGAGGCCTTTTCCATTATTGGCTGTATCTTGACATTAATTTGTTCTATTATTAGAAGTATTTATACACTGTGACTTCCAAGGACTCTGTCTTTTTATAAGAAATACAGTTTGTCTTGAAATATTACAATAAGGGGGTTTATTTGTGTTCTTTGTGTTGGAAACTCTACATACACTTGCAGTCTTTAAAAAGTTTTTGATAACATTAGTAAAAAGTCAAATAGACCTACCCTGTAGAAAGGAAATATCCTAGCACCAGGCCCAGAGGTTTTCCTCCGAGACTTAACAGGGACGAGCAGGCAGGGGTAGGGGGTAGGAGAGGTGCTAAAATCAGCATTGTGCACACGTGATAATGTTGCATTGCAGTAGCGTTGTTTTCAACAGTCATATAAACATAAATAAAATTAAGTCTGATAGGATAACTTGTTCTTTGGATTAGGCTTTAAAAAATAGATGCAAGAGAACATGTGAAATGAGTTTGTACAGATAAACACAGAAAACCAAATTCCTGTTCAAAGACTTCTAAACCGAGGTGTAGTTTCAGAGATAATCTGCTTGATAAATGCCTCAAGGGATTTTTATTATCACACATCCTAACCCATCTCAATTGTTTTAACGTAATGAACTGTTAAAGAGGCTTGCTGTGGCGAAGGGGCCTCAGTGTAGAATAAACATCTCTTCCAGACCGGCTACTCTTAGGAATTTGAGTTCTGATTCACTTTGCTTTCAGAACTTGGAGTGTCATCTCTTAAGTGGTGGATCTTTTACAATGAAATGTGAACAGTTCAAATGTATTATTTATTCAGCAGGTACAGAGTCAGGTAATTTCAATCCAGTATATTCTCTGCCGGTGTTTTGTTGCACGGTAGCTAGAGTAACTGAGAACCAATTCACAACAAAAAGGTAATCCAAATCAAGAAATAAACGCACCAGTTACTTCTTCAATTTTGACTTATTGGTTACTCAAAAAGTTTCTAAAAAGTGAGGCAGTAATCACTGTCAAGTCTTGCAACAATTATATGAAATACTGAACAGAAGTCTGCCAGGTGCTGTAAAAACACACACACAAACATGGCCTGTGCCCTTCTAAAATTTTTTGTATGTTGAATATTATTATGGATTTGGTAAGCACTCCTTGCTTTTAAAATTAGTTTTGAATCTTCAACATCTTGTTCAAATCTTAGTAATCAGGAAAACATTTAAGTAGTAAAGTAAGTTGTATATACCAAGTTCTTTGGGGAATTTTGTGCTCTTCTCCTAACTAGTTTTGGCAGCTTCTTTTGCAGTTGATTTAAAGGTGAAGATAGCAGAATATTCAGATGTTTAAGTGAGTCATTAGTGTAACATAGCTGTGAACTTCATTGCACACACACATATACACCCTGAAACAAGACACTATTGTCTTACAGAATCAGTTTCTGATAACACTGTGCTCTCGTTCATCATAGGGTTTTTCAACAACCAGGAATTCCTCTTGAATCAATATTTAAGTGATTGTTACTTATTAGTGTCTTGGTAATTATTCCAAATTTGTAGCTTTACTTGTCCTATTTAAGTGTGATTTTGGTGAGCCTGTTGGCTTGTGCTTGGTTTTTGGTCTGGTAGTGTTCTAGTGTTTTTTAAATAATGAGAAGAAATGAGCAATTATGTTTTAGAAAATAGTTAAGATTGCTCAAGTCATTTTAATGGAGGTGCTGGGAATTGAATCCAGGACCTCGTGCATGCTAAGCACGAACTCTACCACTGAGCTATCCTCTCCCTCCAAGGTTGCTTCAGTCATTCTAATGAACATTTGACCACAAATAACTCAAACATGCTTAAATACTAAATATATTTACTAGATTGTAGTTTTGTTAGGAATTGTGGTTTGTCTAACTTGGTGTGGCACACGATGTAAGATGTAATGTGTGTCTCTATATTAGGTAACTGGGTCAGATAGGACTGCTAATACTGTGTAAGAGGCTTTTTGGTAAAGTGACCTGTTTGTGCTCGTGTAAAATTGTTATTTTTATTTGGTAAAAGTTGCCAGTATGTCAGCAACTGTAAGCAACATATTAACTGGAATATTTCCTTATATGGTTACATTACAAAATGATAAGACCTCTTAATTCATAGGTCACTTGGTATTTGAGGAATTCTTACAGCCTGTTTGTCTTGGGCTTTTGCATCAGAAGCTGAAGCTATGGGCCATGCCCTGGTTTTCAACAAGTCATACACGTGATTTGTAAGAGTTTTGGGCAAGGAACAGGGAGTCTTTCTTGTCATGTCACATATCGGGGGAAAGTGGAACAGAAACTTAAACCTTGAGAGTCAGGCCACACAGAAGCAGCCTAGGTGCAGACAGGCGGGCGGCATGGGTGCGGGGATGCTGTTATGGATGTGGACCTCTCCCTGGCTTTAGTGACCACATTACTTCGTTGCCTCCCCAGCAGGAAGAGTCTGTGGACCCATAAACCCTGGTGCCAGGCCTGTGTATGGTTGTCCAGACTGTGTGTAGCATAAGGACACTACTCAGGGGTCCAGTATTTACATTATGGGCTTGGACTAACCTGAAGGAGAGCTTGTGAACAGACCTGGCCATGCAACATCTCTAGACAGTCCTGAAGCAGCATGGGAGAGCCCCTCCTGCAAGAACCCATCCCAGCATGCTCTCAGCAGCACCTGCATGCACACATTCATTGATGCCTATGTGTGTTCATCAGCTCTGAGGTCTGTTCCTGACCCCCTTACTTCTTCCGGGGATGGGGAGCTTGGGTGGGGTAGAGTGGTGGTGGCAT